GTAATGAAGACGAGATTCATGATTAAACTGTTGGGAAACTCGATTAAGCAATGGCAGTAGGAACGCCAGTGTGATTAAGATTGGTATGGATGAGGATGATAGTACTTTTGCAAGTGGTAATTATGATGATAGTAACACTGATGTTCATAATGAGGATGATAACATGATAAAAAGTAAAAGGTATGAATGAGGACGAATGTCTTCACAATACAAGAGATGTATTTCACTGGTTTCGAATATATCTTCGTGAGGTATATAGACGAAGATATATTCGAAACCGGTCAGATGCATCTCTTGTATTTGAAGATATTCATTCTCATTTATACTTTTCTACATTTGCCAACATGAATACGGTTCATAATAAAAAAGTATATAGAATATTAGTGGCATGATGATAATTGTTAGATGAATGATAGAATGATAATACGGATGATATAAATATTTCAAGATAATAATGATAGAAATGATAACAATTCTGACACTCCTATGAGAAATCTAACGATGTCTGTATGAGCGCACGAGCCCCTCGAGCGCAAAACAGAATGCATATTATTGCACGGTATATAGCGAAGACACGCAGCTGCATTCGCGCTATCAATTTAACTTGTTGAAAGCTATCAGGAGAGGGCCAGTACCTGTTGATATCAATGGCCGAAGTTTATTATTGGCAGCCGTCCCTCTCTCTGCCGCCAGGATAGAGACACATCATATCACAGCATTATGTACAGGGAAATGGACCAATTATAATGCCCATTATAAAGGGAAATTGGCCTATTTCGATCTCGCTCTCCCTTGCTCTTTGATACGTGCGGCCATTTAAGCCTAACTTTTCTTTTTTTTTCTCTCTCTCGTTTGTGGTAGATTTATGTAGCTAGAAAGTAATGGTTATAATGGTTACCGTGAGGAGGAGGATTTTATGAGTGTTGATAATGGTAATGAGGATAATAGTAAAAGTAATAATAACTGTGATAGTAATAAGGATAAGGATAATAATGGCGATAAATGATAAGAAAATTTTAATGATAATGGTGATGATGATAATAAGGAAGATTATAATAATGCTAATAATGACAATAATGTTAAGGATAATGAGGATAGAAATAAAAATAATGAGAATGAGAATAATGATAATGATAATAGTAATAATAATGATCATGAAATTAGTATTGATGAAAAATATAATATCAATGATGATGATTATGATAACAATATGATAACATCAATGACAGCAAGCAGAGAATGGAAAACAACAACAAAAAAACAAAAAAAAAAAAAACGTAAAAGAAAAAGCAAAAAGGGAAAAATAAACGAAAAAAAAACATAACAAAAAATAAATGCAAAAGAGAGATCACACAACGAAAGGATAAACACTGACGAAGACCTCGATTAAGGCCGTTCCTTTTAGCAATAATTCACGATATTACTCTTGGTCTTGAGGAGGAAGACCGAGACGTGAGATGAATTAAAAGACTGATAATCCCTTTGCTTGTTTCTTCACTACGATCTCCTGTTGGTTTTGTTCTAGAAAGTTCTTTTTGTGTCGTTCTTATGCCTTTTTGGTATTGGTTTTAGCTTTGAAATTGTTATTGTTATTGTTGTTGTTGTTGTTGTATTTATCATTATTATCATTATAATTACTATTATTATTGTTAGCATCATTATCATTATCATTATCATCTGTTGTTATTAGTATTATTAATATCATAACTTCATTATTATTCTTATCATAATTATTTTTTATTTATATTTATTATTATTATATTATTATTATTATTATATTATTATTATCTTATTATATTATTATTATTATTATATTATATTATTATTATTATTATTATTATTATTATTATTATTATTATTATTACTATCATTATTATTACTACTATCATTATTATTCTTAATACCATCATCATCATCTCATCATCATCTTCATTATTATTGCTATTATCATTTTGATTATCATTATTATCATCATCCATATTATGATTTTATTATCATTATTATCATCATTTATATATTATTTCATTATTATCGGTTTTTATTCTTTATTGGTGTTACTCTTATTCCTATCATTATCATCATCATTATTAATATCATTGTTATCACTACCATATCTCTGCCTCTTTCTCGTCTTATTCTTCTTCTTTTCTTTGCCGTCTTCTTCTTCTTCCTCTTCTTCGTTCTCATATTCCTATTCTTCTGTACATCATTGCATATATTCTCCGTCCATCTCCTCCTGCTCATTCTCACATTATCATTATTTTCCTCTGTAAACATATCTTTATTTTTATTTTCATTTCCATTCGTTATTTTCCCTTCTTCATCCTATCATTTTACACTACTAGTACAGCGAATAAAAATCAAACCCAGATTTTTGGTACTTTTTTTCTTTTTTGTGTGTGTGTTTCAAAAGAATTAATCATACTAAAATAAATCTTATATAACAAGACATCAAATAATTCCTCTATTCGTTTCATATAAAGAAGCAGTTTAGTTTAGC